TATTATTATGACCGTTATATTATTGGGGAAGGTGGCAGGGAAGACAGCCCAGGGGCGGTGAAAGAAGAAGGAGGCTGAGCGTGCGACAAGGGAGACAAGGGGAAGGGCGGGCGGGGATGAAGTAGTAGTTTTGCACCCTACTGGCTAGGGCGCTCTTCAAATTATAAACACAAGTCTACTGATAAGAATTTATTACAGAAGCCTATGCTGAGATACCCCCTTACCATATTAAATGCATTTGGAGCACAAAATATAACTCTTCCGGTGATATATTGCGCATGCGCCCAAACAGTAACGTAGCCAGTTATGTACTGACTGGTATATGCAGCCGAGACCTTACATACAATGTCTGCTTCCTATTTCATAAGTGAAGTCTACTGATGGAATATTATCATGTAAATCTATGGTGGGATAATCCCTCTTCATTTTAAATTCATAATTTTTGGCAAAATATTCTTCTTCTTGGTAGATATTGCGCATGCGCGAGCACCGTTTTAGACGTGCAGTACGGCCTAAATCAAAGTACGTAATATAGCTTGCTGCGGGAGAGAGAAATGTGAGACCAAGGGAAGGTGGCAGGGAAGACAGCCCAGGGGCGGTGAAAGAAGAAGGAGGCTGAGCCTGGGACAAGGGAGACAAAGAGAAGGGCGGGGGGATGAAGTATTAGTTTTGCACCCTACTGGCTAGGGCGCTCTCCAAATTATAAACACAAGTCTACTGATAAGAATTTATTACAGAAACCTATGCTGAGATACCCCCTTACCATATTAAACGCATTTGCAGCACAAAATATAACTTCTCCGGTGAGATATTGCGCATTCGCCCAAACAATAACGTAGCCAGATTATGTACTGACTGGTATATGCAGCCAGGACCTTACATGCAAGGTGTGCTTCCTATTTTATAAGTGAAGTCTACTGATGGAATATTATCATGGAAATCTATGCTGGGATAACCCCTCTTCATTCTAAAATTATAAATTAATTTTGGTAAAATGTTATTTTTCTTGGGAGATATTGCGCATGCGCGAGCACCGTTTCAGAGGTGCAGTAAGGCCTAAATTAAAGTACGTAGGCCTAATATAGCTCGCTGCGGGAGAGAGGGATGGTAGACCAAGGGAAGGTGGCAGGGAAGACAGCCCAGGGGCGGTGGAAGAAGGAGGCTGAGCCTGGGACAAGGGAGACAAGGGGAAGGGCGGGCGGGAATAAAGTATTAGTTTTGCACCCTACTGGCTAGGGCACAAACACACACACACACACAC